CACGAAGCGACTGCCCAAATGGCTCTTTTGCATCCTGCACCAAGAAATGAGACTGCGGCCAGCAGCAGCATTGAGGGTCAGCATGGCCACAAACATACTAACGTCGGCTCCCTACACTATCCTTGGTCCCTAGAACAGTGCTGCTAACGAATGCACCAGTGAGCCAGTGTTTTTGTGACGTAATTTCATTCCTTGCTTGTTTCGTTTTTGTCTGCCGCTGCGACTTTTCTTTGCGTACTAGATCGATTCTTGTCAAATGGGGCCTTGCAGCAGGAGCGGCAGGATTTTGAGAATGACTTGCTGGGCCACATGAGCGCGGTGAACAAGCCGGGATCTGAGAGGCAGATCTTGACCTTGCATCTGCTGAAGATGGAGATGATGATGGTACTGATGATCGGCTTTGACTTGTTCATACTGGTAATACTTGTAGGATCTTGTAAGTTTGTTCTTCTTGGTAGCCGGAGTGTTCGTAGTGCGAGTGCGAGACACTGCAACCTTCTCATGCGCGTCTTGATTGGTGGATGCAATGCTATATAAGAAATTTTCGCAACTCAACACAACCTGGAAAACATTCACTCAAGTTTCCACAGCCCAGGTTCAAGGACAACGGAAATCTGAAGGAAGTGGACAACTACGCAATAAAGATAGACTGGCTGAAGGACGCGGGGCCTGTCGGGTTTTGGAGCTTTGCCTTCAGTTGTGCAAAAATTCGGGTTGGAGCTTTTGCTTGTTGTGGTTTGGGTTTCGGAAGGCAGGCATCTCTTCGCCGTTGTGTTCGTGCAAATTTCGAGCCTGCCTCCCAACAAAATGGCTTTTCGTGCACGTCACAGACAGCTCTACTAAATTACGCTTCACAGCATCTAGCCTGCCGGACTCCCCGGACGAGCGATTCAGTGCGGAGCAATGCATGGGGCGTGGTTGGCCCATTGACAAAATACCGCTAGTAGCACGGTGCATGTTTGTCTGTGTTTAATGAGCAAGCAAGCACCATGGTTGTTGCAGAGTCGGATGATAAGATGCACCGTGGCCCAAAGGAAGAGCTGCAGAAGTGTCAGAACACTGCAGAGCAGTACCGCGCGAAGGAGGTCCACAACTGCTGTCAGACTGTTGAATTACGGCTTTTTGTTTTTTAGACGAGAGAGCTTAGAGGCTGCAGGTTTGCCGCGCTGAAGGGTTTGCAGCGGGTGCTTGTAGTTTTTCGGAGTAAGGTCACGAGGAGGGAGGAGTTGGCAGGATGTAGAGTGGGAGGAATCGGGCTTGGGGGCTGGGGCAAGTCAGCGAGAAGCATTTCCGATTAACATGTTGTTGCTTGGTCAAGTACAGAGCTCGAGCATTCTCACATGACTACTTGTCCCGCTGGGTTCCTTCAAGACACAGCTCTGGGCTAGATTGAAGAGTGCTGCCTGGATTCGTGAAAAATCCGGACGAGAGCTCCCACTGACAAAAAGGAAGTCGCGATGTAGCTGCGCAGGCAGAGTCAGCAGAGTCCAGATCTGCAGGAGTCCCTGCATCCTTATATAAGAAGCACATCTTTTCCTCAAGGATCCGAAGCGCCCGGTCCCGGTGACCCTCCATGCGCACCCATGTTGACCCTGGAGGTTATGCTGGGGTGGGATCCGAGCGAGTTTGAGAAGCTCACCGAGGCAGTCTAGCAAACGCACCAGCGATCAGCATCTTGCAAAATTCGCTTTTGTTCACTGCCAGGGATTGATGAGATCTTAGGCGGTGCTTCGATCTCACCCGGATCCTTCACACAGAGCCATGGGTTTCGAGTTCTAAACGGATGATTTTGGTGCCACGATCCTGGGACTGACAAGTTGCATTTTGAGTTAATCTTGTGACAAAAGAATCGTTCTTCCGTGTCCCCGCTCATTCAGTAGGTCATAAGCCATGCATTCGCCAAGAAGCCATGCAAAACTCCGACGTTCTTCTGCCCCCTCGCCCTAACCCTCGAAGACCAAGAAACTCAGCGCGAGGCCATTGAGAAGCTGCACCCCTACGACGACCTCTGGGAGCTGGCTAAACGCTTCACCAACGAGGCAGGCTTTCTCCGCCTTTTGCCCTTCTGTATTTGGGTCATTTCTTTGGCTCGCGGGCTGGGAGGGTGCTGTTGAAGCGGAGCGGGCCGAAGCTTTTGGAAGGCCAGGGTTGCAGGCATGTTGGGATGTAAATCGGACTCGAGAACCTGCTCTCGGATCGGGCATCCTCCGACTTGTAGCAGCTGTACACGTTGTGTATTGAGTCTTGCAGCAACAGTGCAGTGGGCCAGGGTAACCTGCAGCCGGCAGCAGAATTCGTTGTTCGGCATCCCGAAGTCCGCTCAGGAGAAGAAGTGGATGAGAGGACCTCTCTTCCAGCTTGAACCGGAGGCCCTCGGGGGGCCATTGAGTTTGGGAAGCCAGAGCGGACAGTCCCTGCCAGAGCCACGGCTGTGAGAGGGACTCATCAATTCGATGTTTTCTTCAGGCGGTTGATGCTCTGGCCGGCAGCTTGGCAAAGAGGGCCATGAAGCTGCAGGCGGGACAGGCTTCTTCAAGTTAAGGCTTGTAAGCTTGCGGTTTGGAGGCTCACGACTTGGAGTTGGATATGGGCTTAGATTCAGGCACTTAGCCGACACGTCCCCCATACATGCACTTCACTCTACCAAAGCTCGACAGTTGTGTTCGAATGCTTTAGGCAAGTGCCTGCAATAAGTCGGCCCGCCACCGTCCCTCACGCATAAGAGCGCAGAGCCACTCCTTGAATATCAAAGGTTTTTGTCAGGGTGAATGAACCCAGGACTCAGATCGTTTTGTGGCTCTGTGGTGATTGGATCTGATTGCGGGCGGGGCCCAGGAACACCAACGAGCGAACGCAGACCTGACATGAACTAAGTGTGTCTTGAAAGCCTGTTTCACGACCGGTGTATGTTGTAGTGCTGTACTGTTGTGAAGAGCCCTGCGCAGATGGTTTTTGCACAAACACTTTCAAAACACATATATACCATAGTATAATATCATAATATCGTATAGTATAGTATAGTATAGTATAGTATAGCATATACTATCATATAATATAATATGATATAATATAGTATAACATAATATGAAAATATACCGTATAATATAGTGTAATATAACATAAGGTAAGACCTAATATTGTATAATATACTATAATATAATAATACAAGATAAGATAAGATAAGATAATATAAAACATAATATTATACAAAATAGAATATAGAGCATAATATAATATAATATAAAGTATAAGATATAGAATAATACCATATTATGTAATATAACATAAATATAACATCATATAAGATCTAATATACAGATGAGTGTTCTCGGAAGGTCTCCATGGAGTGGAACGCCAACAAGCATTGAATAGCTGAATCTGCGCAAAAAAAACATAAGTATGCTGTTGCAGAAATGCTCGATCGCCCCACCTTTACCAGACCGGCAGAGCATCATGGTCAGCTTGGCAGCCTTGTGCCTGGACTGCTTCACATTCTGCAGCTGGCCGTGAATTATGAGTGCGGCACAGCACGTGCAACAACACTGCATTGCATCGTGTCAGTTGCTTGGGCAGTGCAAAAATTAGATGTACTTCGTCTTCGAAAATACAGCCGTCGGCTTGAGCCAAACATTTTTGACTCTAGACATTATACATTATGCGACATGACACAAATGCGCACAAAGAGACTACTTGAGGTACTGTACGTGGCTGGAGCATGACATTGCATAGCACCACCTGGCAGAAACGTGTAAAAAGAGCATGCACAAGCATGAAACGCTAAACCCCAAGTCAAATGTTTGTAGCAGGGCTTCTTCGAGACGAACAGCCTGCCGATCCCTGCGGGCGTGGCGAAGAAGCTCAAGAAGGCCTTCTGGAGCTTCTTCGAGTCTGGCAGGGTTTGTTGGGCCTGGATACGAGGCTTCTAAAGGGAATTGGCCTCGAGATGAAACACTGCCTTCCTCGACTGCAGAGGACCTGGATGCCTTCAAGCAGCATCTGCCGCTCATCCACGCCCTTTGTGCCTGAGCTCGCTTAGCTTCATAGCTATCAGGGAGATAAGTCACGTGATCCTGGGCTCGCCACGGCATTCTGACCAAAGATGGCCGCACAAAGCAAAACGAACTTGATCCTTCACATATTTGTGAGTTGACGAAGCTTGCAGCATTGCGGGCAGCCCACTGTTCTTCTGCAAATCTCATTGCAGGCAATCCAGGTCTCCGCCAGCGGCACTGGGACGAGATTTCGGAGGCACGGTATGATCTACCGGCCGGAGAATACGTAGATGCATCTTGCTGTAAGCCAGGACTCAAGCCCAAGGACACTATCAACTAGCCGCGTTTAGGTCTAGGTGAAAAGCTCTCCAGTCCATGCCGACCAACCAGAGCAGATCAAAACCAGAAGCCCCTCCAAGCCTCCGATGCTCGCTCAAAGCCTTTTGGGTCTCATGTCCAATTGCCGTCAACAACTGGGCCGCAAGCGTTTGGAAGGAGATTGCTTTTACCCATTGAGGACCCTTTGGTAAATTGGTTCGCGGCGAGAGGTCGTTGGCTTCACCATGGAGCGCGATGCCGCTTTCACCCTCAGCAGAGTGGTGGACATGGACGTGGGTACGCACATGCTGGGTGCTTACTGTATTTTCTTCTTCAGGCCTGTGCCTTTAATTTAAACCCCAAAGTGAAAGAGAACCTCTAGGTCGGTGAGGTGAGGTCGCAAGGCTTCGGAGCACGGCTTCCCACTTACATTCGGGGGGTGCATCATAGCAACTCCTTTAGAAGTCGGCCCGAAATACATGTTACAGAGACGAAGACTTCACAAAGTGGTCCAACAGTCTGTAGTGTGTACCTCAGATATCGGCACCGAGGAATGCGCTGCAGGAGATCTCCGACTCCGCATCCAGAGAGTACGGACTGGCTCTTGCCTCAGCAGCATTCGTTTTTGTCTACAAGCTTTCCGTGGGGAAGCAGCCGAGACACCTGGGACGCACCCCAAACTCGCCTATCCCGAAGAGCAGAAGCAGGAGATCCACGACACCCAGCAATAGCAGCCAACAGCATGCACATTCAGTGGTCATCCAGCTCGGTCGGTGAAATCAAGCAATTTCAGGAGCTGTTCCTCTCTGTGTGCTTTGGTGGTCTAGAGGAGGGGGTCGTGGCATTGGGGCCAGGCAGCAGCCAGCCCTTAGGAGAAGACCCTGGAGTCCATCTACGAGCAGTGGCAGCCCGTGAACTTCGAGCTGAAACCGTGGAAGGACCCGAGAAGTTTCTGGTTGGTGATCGAGTTTAGGACTGGGACCCCTAATGTTTTGGGGTTGGCTTCTCAGAGCTTTGAGGCTAATCTGCCAACTCACGCATGTACATCCAGGGGTTTGGGGAGTTGGTCGTTCCAGCGTTGTTTGGCCATCTGTCGCTCGTCGGAAGTCGGGAATATGATCTGGAGCGAACCTTTGTCATCATCGTTCTTTCGCGAGTCTGGAATTGGCCTGAACTGAATCCATGTTCGTCACACTTGACCTGGTCGGCATGTTTCTCTGCCCGGCTGCGCACCTGAAAGCTTGTAGGACACGGAGACGTACATCGTTGCTGGGACGACTGTCGACGAAATGCCGCTGGGCGGATTCGGACTCTTTCCCTTTAGGCCTTGCCTCGGAGCCTAAAGGCATCTTGTTGATCGGAGGTGGGGTGGCATAGGTTCTGCGATACCCTGATGGATCTTCACTGAATCCTGATTCCTAAGATGAAAGCATTTTTTAGTCACGAAGTTGACAGACTCCCCTGATTCCAGCAGGCAGAGTCTCATGGATGATCACATCATCAAGGTCCAGACCATGAAAGGCCACCCCGCTGGTGCGTTTTAGGCTGGTATGCCTGATTCGCGGGTTCGAGTGCGACATGCAGTCCTTTCTGAATTGTGAGGTGACAGTGCCGAAGGCCCCGGGCCTGGCCCCCATCCGTAGAAAGCTCCTCAGGCTCGCCCTACGCCAAAGCCTTCATGGACAAGATCACTTCGTCCAGAACTGAGCTGCATAACCAAGACAGAGTGTGACCTTGCTTCGGCTGTTGTTGCGGATGACTCGGGAGGTTCGAACTCGGTGTTGCTTCACACATGCCGGGCTCGTTTCACATGCACAAGGAGCCACAATCATCCATAGTTCAGTCTGTTGTCTTGGCCGAACGACCTTGCATTGCTCTGGTAAAGCCCGTGGACCTCTCAAAGCCCAGTGCGACAAGCACGTCTACTGTTCAGCCTGGCGAGGTTGGAATCCTGGCTCCTCCAGACGCAGGAGAGGGGATGGTCTAGCCGTCGCGCAACGGTGCGGCATCGGCGACATGAACTGCTGTTTACTAGTTACTTCCGGGCTTAACAGGCCTGGTGTTGAACATACCAGGAGATCATGGACATTTGGCAGAAGGCGGGGCTGCCAGTGCACACACATCAGCCTTGTTTCGCACACCGACCTTCAAGTGCTTGTGTCGGCAAAGGGGCCAGCGGCTGTCAGGAACAGATTCTGCCATGCGTAGGACACGAAGTTTTGTGTACGTGTGGGCCTCTTCATGTTATCTTCGGATGATGACCGCGGGAGGTTAGCCTTGCCTGGATCTTGCGAGGTGCAAGGCGTCTGGCTCTACCTCGAACCCATTTTCTCCTCCGGGGATATTGTCAAGCAGATGCCCACAGAGGACCACTCCATCTGATGAAGGGGATTACAGGGTTAACCAAGAGTTATCAGCAACCTCTTCAACCTACAACGCCGTGAAGCTCAAGCATGGATTTGACGAGGTTTACGAGCCATGACCTGTCGTAGCTTTGACGCCTACTGAAACTGGCGTTGAGACCTTATTGTGGGGTGCAGCACCGCAGCTTCAGTTCAAAGTGTGCTACATTGGCTCTCATGCTGGGCCCAGTACCGAGGGGAAGCGCATTAAAGGAACGGTTCTGTTTCTCTCCTGTCTCCTGCGCAGGCCGGGATTTTCAAGCAGGTGGACATGGATTGGCGCACTACCATGGCGGCAGCTTTGGAGTGACCTGACCTTGTTAGAAGGGGAGCTTCGGAAGGCGGACGTACACGTGCGAGAACAATGCGTCGGGGCAGGGAAGCGGTGAGTGCAAGCTTCTATATGAGCTTTCGTGCCCATTCTTGAGATGCCACGGCAGCCCACCATTTCGACAATCCAACTGAGAAGCCCCCATCTTTGACACCCGGTTGTGCTGCGGTGTTGCTCATGTGTGTAAGTATAACCGGGTCGTCATAATCATAAGTGAAGTGCGACTCCTTGGCAGGGCCGGCAAGGCGATGGAGGCGACAAAGGCACCGGGACTCCTGGAGTTGTTGCAGAGGCCGGGCTGAAACTTTTTTTTTCCCGGCTTATCGTGTCTCACGTGGGTGTGCAGCTTCCTAGCACTCCTGCAATCGGTTTATCCAGCGCAGGTGCAATGCAAACTTGGACACCGTGCAGAAGGTGTGTGTGCTTCTAGTCGACATGCCATGCATCGCTCACACCATGGGATTAAACTTCTGCCCGTCTGCGGCCCGGTGCAATTCAGGATACACTTCGGCTGTTTCAATAAGCTGAACTTCAGAGGAACGCTTCGCACTCAAGCGCCTGCTAGTCAAGATTCTCTCAGCATGGGCATCTATTCAACACAAGTGGAATGGATGGTTGCGATCGATGGTTGTCCGCTGTGCTGACAGCAGTAATACATAGGTATCGTTCGAAATCACCACGGAGAGCACTCAAGGAGACTCCAGTCTTGCAGCCCCAAGCCGTGTGACAGTTGAGGCTCAGGTAGCCCTCCCAAAAAACCAGGCGGCTTATCGTTCGACCTAGGAAAGGTCGCCGATTGGCAACTCTTAGGAAGGATGAAGGCATGCCGAATGCACACCCTCCTTTTTGCTTGTCATTGTCGATAGAGAGATGGCTCTGCAAAAGCTTTCGGCCAGGGCTTGAACGACTATCTGGAAACGAAGCGAAAAGCCTTCCCTCGCTTCTTCTTCCTGTTGGCGCCCCAGCTTCATGGCAAGTCAAAGATACACCTCTACCCAGTGCCCGAGTCTCGGAGCTGGTTGAATTGTGCGCCTGCGAGAGCCTGCAGCCCTTCAGCTTGGCTCCGGAGCAAGCCCTAGCTCGTAGCTCGGAGACACCTGGTGACCTCGCAGAAGTCTTGAGGTCGAATGACAACCTGCTGGAGATCTTGTCGGTGTCGTTCTCGGCTAGCACGCTTTGAAGTAACTGACAGCTGCGACCTTTTGTGGTCTACCATCGAGCAGCGGATTCCCCTGAGAGAAACCTCGGTCTTCGACCCCTGTATACAGGTTGATCGAAGCTTCTCACCAGAAGGTGCGTGTCTAAAGGCAACCAGATAACCAGATAGGCCACTGTTGATGACAAGTTCTTCTCTGCTTTCACTTGCGGTAGGGGCCTGCTACCGGGGTTTAGACAAAAATAATGTCGTCGTCTTTGTAGTAGCTGTGGTGCCGGCTGTGCGGTGGTGGTAGGAGGAAGCGTCGCAGGAGCAACAGCAGCACTCCGGCCACCACCGATTATCGAGAAACGTATGATCGCAGTGCTAGACTGCTAGGCTGCTAGACATACAACAAGAAGCCAAATTCAACAGTCGTGGCAGTTTCAGCGCAGAAGCACTAGCAATAGTATCGTAACGAATGCTGCAAATCGGCGTTCCGATCGTACCACATGTAGTTGCACTCAGGAGACGAAGGACCCCACACGCGTGAATCCGCACATGAAGAAGGCACAGCTGGGCAACCCAAACCTATTATTTAGTTGTACTGCTACTGTAAGCATGTTGCAGCAATCTGTTGGTGGTGCCGAGTTGTAGCATGATTTGTGAACATTGTCAGTTATGTAATGGAAGCTTAAAAGTCGCTAGGACCAGGAAGCTTCCCCACGACTGGGTTGTTGGTGGCTGTGCTGACAATTCCAATTTCAGGATTGACCAGGACGGTGTTGACCACGAAAAAGAGCGTGCATCGTTTTGTCAGAATCATCAGCGCGTGCTTGGACGACTGCAACTGTGATAATGATAAGGATGAGCATCGTTCATTTGGTTTGTCTAGCAGTTGTAGTCGTGGTGGTGGTGGTGCTGGTGCCGCTGCCGCTGCTGCTGCTGCTGCCGGTGGCGGCGGCGGCGGCGGTGGTGGTGGTGCGGTTGGGGTGGTGGTGGTGGTGTTGGTGGTGGTGGTGGTGGTGGCGGTGCTGCTGGTGGCTTCGGTGGCAGTGGTGCTGGTGGTGTTGCTGGTGGTGGTGGTAGCAGCAGTGGTAGTAGTAGTCGTCGTCGTCGTCGTTGTGGTCGTGGTGGTCGTCGTCGTCGTCGTCGTCGTCGTGGTCGTCGTCGTCGTCGTACTTGTAGTGGTAGTGGTAGTCGTAATCGTAGTCGTAGTCGTCGTAGTAGTAGTCGTCGTCGTAGTAGCAGTAGGAGGAGGAGGAGGAGGTACTTAGTAGGTGATAGTTCGTAGTCAGCAGTTAGCAGTTAGTTCTTCGAAGTTCGTTATTCGTAGTTCGTAGTTTCTAACAGCAGCAGTGGGAGCAGCAGCAGGTCAATCGTCGTCGTCGTCAATCGAAGTCGTCGTCGTTGTGGTGGTGGTGGTCGTCGTAGTAGCTGAGTAGTTGTGGCAGCAGCAGCAGCAGCAGCAGCAGCAACAGCATCAGCAGGAACGGCAGCACCCGTAGCGGTAGCAATGGTAGATCCAAGCCTTTCACAATGCTTTCGCAGAAGTCTTCGGAACTGAACAGTAGTGTCCTGCCAATGGTGATGATAGCCATAGTCACATTGCCATGTGATCACTGAACGAAGGCCAAGCCCACCAAGCCCACCTCCATCTTCAGGCTTTCGAGGGCATCCAAAGCCTCGAGTTTCAGTCTGCCTGGAGCTTGGGGCCATTGGGGCGTATCAGGGCCAAGTTGAGGTTCGAGCTATGGCGTACTTGGCTCGGCTTCAATTCAGTTCATTGCCATGCTGCCGTGCACCCGCCCTTTTTGCAGGATTCGCGAACTCTGCAAGACTAGTTTGCCATGTTTGGCATAGCTTCTGCATGCGACTCGAAACTGACAGTCTTAAGCCTCGACGACGTTAAGCACCCGATGCTAGAAAGCTACACAGCCTGTACCGAGAGTCTTAAGTGTACAGGGTTTAGGGTTCTGCGATTCAATGACTGTTTCCATCATGCTGGCTGCCTATGTCCATTGCCGTGGAAGTTGGACTGCTCCACGGGACATTTGCAAGCAAATTTGGAAAGAACTTGAAATTTCGCGAGTAAGGGTGCCCGAGCAGGACACGGGTGCACAATATGCCATCGCAGTGGGAGCTGCATCTCGGCACGCGTGCCTGCTGCGAGTGCTTTGCGGATACACTAACCAAATCCCTTCACTGAACGTCAAAACATACCAGTTCACCTGCTCTGCATCTTGCGGACCCGCCGTTCTCAGAGGCACATGTAGTAGAAAAGATCGGGTTTGATCCCCATCCCACAAAGATGGAGCTTCGATGCAGCGCCTTTGTCGCGATTGCTGTGCAAGTGCTAAGCACAGAGGCGGCCATCTGTGGCAACTGGAATGAAACGCAGTGTCCCTCCATGAATGATGGCGGTTGCAGCTGCTACTGGAACTCCACAACTTGTGCAATGAATAACTCGGACTGCAGTGGCAATGGCATTACATCCGTGGGTGACAATTGCACGCTTACAGGCGGTGAAGTGGTGACTGATGGCTGGAGTGGCAAAGACACCGGCACCAACTGGTGCAACAGCTGTAACTGTGGACAGGGGATGCTAGCATGCACCCTCATCGGCTGTATCGACCCGGATGCCAATGGCACAGTTCCCACCAGCAATGCCGGTCGGTCTGTTGCCGCGGTCTCTGCTTTGATCATGTCTCAGCTCTTTGCAAGGAGTTGCTGATCTCTGCACTGCGCCATTTGAATCTCGTTTTATCTACTTAGCTCCGGAGTGTCGCTGTCGGACAGGCGACTTGCTGGAGCTGTGCCTTCAGTAAACTTCACGAACTTAGACATCCAGACATACTTTTGTCGTTGCTGCACCACGAAATTCAGCCGGGCCAGAAAGTGTCCGAAGACAGTGCCGGCCGCGGCAACAAAACTGTGGACATGCATGAGCTTGCCAGCACCGCATGCCTTGCGTTTTTTCTTGCCTGTGGCGAAAGCTCCTGGCCAGTTCATCCCGCTTTCCAAGAGCCCGAGCCCAATGCAGCCAAGCTTCTGCACTACAGACTGTTTTGCTCAATCTCACAACCACCGTAATGCCAAATAGGCCCCAAAGCTCGGCACATCCTGGGGTGGCAACTCTTGGAGCCACAGACGAAGCCGCTAAAGAGACTGCCACGTGCACTGCTCGAGGCAGATCAGCGAATCACCGCCATGATGTCCTCGGAGAAGGAGTCGGTGCCAGTCGCGTCCTCGGATGCCGAGCATTTTTGTAGTTCACTGGGAATTACCCTTTATCCGTGGCGGTTGCAAAGGAGAGATCATGTGGACAGGGAGAGAATTCCGGTGCCGTTTCCGGAAGCCACTGAGCCAGTACACCTTAGTGAATGTTTCATGCAGGACCGATTGCTGAAGCAGTCTTGTTCTGGCATCCCTGCAGCATCAAGCCTGTACGCGTCCTGTTTGATGTTTCTTGTTGGATGCCGGGGTACCTTCGCTTATGTTCCTTCGGCTTTCGTGTTCGTGAAGTTTTGCGAACACATCAAATGCGACATCGCAGTTGGTGGATGCGGTGGATCCGCACGCAGCAAGCGGTAACGTGGAGAAGTGGCTCGTCCAGGTCGAGGCAGGTCCTGACTTGTTCTTGGAAAGCGACTGGGGTCATTGCTTCGGATTTCGCTAGGCCAGGGTCAGGGTCGAGAACCGAAGCTCACTGGGGGGAGGGATCAGTACTTACAAATCCAAGCACAAGCGAAGTCCGTGAACCTTCAAGTGGGTGTTTTTTTGTTTTTGTTGGCTTTTGTCTATGGTTGTCGGGCTTTGGCTTAGAAGAAAGGAACAATATGGAGCAATTATTGTTGAAAGGCTTTCCATTCAGGGGTTGTTGAATTTCAAGCAGCAGTTGCCTGAATCCAGACCCCAAGCCTGCAGCAAGATTGCCCTCTGCCAGCCTGCCAGCATTACTGCATGCTCAGACTTTGGCCTCCACCGAATTTCAACGGCTGTTTGTCCTGTGAGTCTCGCTCGCTTTACCATGCTTACATATACTGGTACACTGGTACATTGCACGGCTCAAAACTCAACATCCCAGAGCCATTGAGCCTCAAACTTTGAAAAGCCCCGAATCACCGAAGGATCCTAGTTTGGGACAGCCTCCGTCACAGGGGGGCACAGGCCCTTAAGGGCGGGAAGGATTCGACCTTTTCAGGCGGCGATGATCCAGACCATTCGTCACGTTTGCCTTTCTTCGGAGAAGGCCGCTGGTTCTTTTGAAGCACGGTGCGCTTTTCTTGTGTAAAGAAGCCGGTATCTGACGGACATGATTCAGAACCGCCCCCCCCAAAGGTCGAGCCGGAACAGTGAGGGGTGGTTTCTGCTTGCCGTCAGTGCAGTAGGATGGGTGGATGGCAGACTTGCACAGTGGAGTGGTATGGGTTCATCAACGACATGTATCGTGCTCACATGGAGCAAGGAGGCCATGGTATAAGAAACCCAGCCTCAAAAAAAAAAGTACCAAACATATCCGTCACCAATTCCGGCCTGCCCTTGAATCTGCTTTGTCCCGCACCAGGACTACATGGAACGGAAGTTTACCGACTGGCTTCGGCAGTGGCCCGGACAGGCCGAAAGCGGAGTGTATAGGACGACCCCCAGGGCTACTGGTTTGCCATCCTGATCTCCGATGAATTGCCATTTACTCGCACGCTTAGATCCGGCCTTATCATATTTCTTCAGAGACCACAGAAAGTCGAGCCGTGTCAGAAAGGCTATGAACTCCAAAACCCTAAGCCTCGGAACACTGACTGAGATCCCAAAATCTCAGCTCTTACGAGCCTCTGCTTGAGCCTGTAGCCTTTCGCGATTCTTCCAGCCAGTCCAGTCGAGACAAGGCCGTCATCGCCATCTTTTCCCTCTTTTGGACCCGTGAGGCTGGAACAGGGGCGTGTCAGAGCCGGTGAGGGGGTGAGGGGGAGATTTCAGCGTTCGGGTTGTGTGTGGCTGGGGGGGGGGGGAAGAGAGTTTTGGTGGAAGGTGGAAGAAGGACTGCGCGAGCACGGCAACGATGGAGCAGTTCGCTCAGAAGGGACTCCGAAGCTGTTCTTTTTGCTGCTCATGCTGTCACGATTACAGAGGTTCTATATAGGGTTCTGTGCTTTCAGGTAGTTCGGTTCAGCTTCAGCGCCCGGACGTGAGTCGCGGACCGCCCATGTTGCCAAGATACTGCAAGTGGCAGAGAAGCTGAAGGGAACGTTGGGCGACATCATTGCCGGGAGCCCAGGGGAACGCGGCCAAGTTGGAAAGGACAGGTCTGAAGCTTCAGAGGGACTGCTAGAGGGGTAAGCCTTCGACCCAAGAATTGAATTGCGAATGTCGTCATTCAGCTGAGGGGGTAGGGGCCTTCATGCGAAAGCTAGAAATTGAGGTCTCACACCAATGCCCTGGTAAATCCCAAGGACTTGGTACGGAATGACATTCCTGCACTGACGCGGTGCACGCTCGAAGCCCTGATTGTGATTTTCGTCCACAACAAGGCACAAACCACATGATGCAATGTAAGGCTTGCGGACCCGGCAAGAGGTTCAGGAATCGTCTTTGGCATGCAAGTCTTGTGGAGAACCCCTCACGCTTTCCTGCACCACGCGGCAGTCAAGGGTGCAAGGCATTGAGAGAATCTGCTGAGCTGCTTCGTCTTCTAGGAAAGCCTTGGTGCTTCGGTGATTTCGGACATCCTCGCATGGTGTGTAGGTTTGTGAAGCATGTTGAAGCTGCTGCACTCTGTGGCCATGCCCCACCCCCAACAGGATTGATAGCATCACGCATAATGGCGCAGCCAGCATGGTTAGGCCGACGTCAAAGGTAGAAATGTGCTTTTGGGGGGTCGCTTCCGGGTTTTTCTGGGCGCCAGGATACCGTTGAGGAGCTCTGCAAGATGGGAACCAGCATGGTGTCTTGCCGGAATTTGCCGGAAAGAAGGGCTCAGTCTCTTACGCAGTTTGGATTAAGCGTCGAGAGGCTTTGATGTCATTTCGGTTCGGATTCAGCGCGTCAGCGCTGGGTTCTCCAGCCGATGTGTGCCGATGGGAGAAGCGGGGCTTCCGTTGGAGGGGCGGCTGCTGAAGCACAGTTCGGTTTGCGATCATTCGCAGGTTCGTCGGAGCAAAACCTTGATTATATATTATGTTCGAAGACATGGCAAGCTACTGTACGTCTGGACTTGGATAGGGCCATAGGAAAGACAGGCATGCCCTCGTGGCTGCATTTCACGGCACAGGAACCCAGTTGTTTTTTAAGCCACGTTCCGCAACCAAGAACCCAAGTTGTCTGGAGTCTGGGGTGCCATTCCTTTCCTGGCGCCCATGAGAAACTATGACCCTGGAAGCTGCTCAATTGGACCAAGCACACGATCGTTTCACGACCCATTGTCACATGCCGTAACGAGGCAGCGGCAAAGTAGCATGCCCCACGTCAGAACCGAAATTCGATTGAGGCTTGGAAAGACAAGCTGGAGGGGCTGCACAAGACCAACACTGTGAAACCCGAAGTCCAGGGCCCCGACCCAATCTTCTGCTGCTGCTAGGTGGATGACTTCGACTGGCTGGTCCAGCTGAGATACTACATCGAGGAGCAGCAGCGCTCGTCCAAACGCTTGTAGAGTTGGTCCTGACTTGGAGCTCAAACAGCTGCAGGTGCCGCGTTAGCAAACTCTTCGGGTCCAGGGATCGGGTTCATTTCCAAACGTGAGGCTTCTGTTTCTACTTGTGGTGTTGGCGTCTGTGTCACAAGAGCTGAACAACCGACATGCGCAGCCGAAAAGGACCGGAGGTCCCAGGTGCCCAGTTACCCTAACCAGGAGAATCCAGAGAAGCCCGAGCAACTGGACCTGCCGCCAGCTCAGCGATTCTGGGGCTCACGCGGTTTTGCCCACTTGCAAGGGATCCCCTCCTGCTGCGGCTGCATTGGCAATTGATTTGCAGCAGCCAATCATGCAATCCGCAGGTTCGTGCGGATCACAAACAGCCATCTCGGCTACGCCTACGAATACCTGGGCAATTCGTCTCGGCTCATTGTGACACCGCTGACGGACACGAGGGGGCACGGGAAGCACCTAGCTCATTTGAGTTTCCTTCCGAAGATGCTGACACGTATGCAGAGAAACATTGCGACAAGCAAGGCAAAGGGTCACCTCCTTCGATTGAGCTCCCAAGCTTCCCAGCTGTAAGCCACTCGGTGTACCTCGCTGTGATGCTATCTGCCATATCTGCCAATAGCTGGCTGGTGGAAGACTTCATTGAAGATGAATTGCTCGGTCCTTCTGCTTTGGTACCCCACCCCCCGCCCCCCCCCAAAAAAAAGACACGCCCTCATGACGCGGAATACTCTGATGCTCGAATAACGTGATGTTCCACTGCTGGCAGTACCTATGCTTTCGCGACACGACATGCTCTGGGGCTGTAACCTGCTGCTCCACTGATTCCAGAAGGTATGCTTTGATATTCTAGGGGCTGCGCCCACGGCCGGATCGGCTGTCAATAGCTTACAAGGGTTCTGCTGGGGGGGGGGTAGCTCTGCTTCGTATCCTTGAAATTTTTCTATTCTCTCCATATTTCCGGAATGCCGAGCCTTTTTGTTATCACGGTGGCTTGCATTGCTCAGTTGGAAATCTAGGGGTTGACGCTTTCCTTGGGTGAAGCTCCCAAGCCAGGACAGATGCTACCGAACATGTTCCGACCTCAGGGAGTCAGGCTGTAAAGCCTGGTAGAAAAGGGGCTTGTAGCGGCCCTGTTAAGGCCACGGGATGCACCGGACCACAGTGTCACACCGCACCCTGAAAAGTAGTGTCCAGGCGACTTTCTGGGAGCTGTCGCAACGTGTCTTCGAGAGGAGGAACGGAGGAGGCCCTTTGAACTTTGCCGAAGAAGGAACTTGGCCATCAGGATCAGCAGAGCTTCGGTCGGAGTTGCCGTCTCTCTGGGTGTCAACAGGGTTGCGAATTCATGCTGTGCCATTATTTTATGCTGCAGAAGACTCTTAAGCTGAAGCTGCAAGGGCAGAGCTGACCAGCGTCACCAGCCACACCGGGCAACAGATCACAATGATGAGATCTACCTGCATGCAGGCACTTGTCGAGGCACAACAGTTTCGACTGAAAGAAGATCCAGTAGCAGAAGAGGATTCGTCATTTGCCACTCCGGGAACATGACAGGCATTGCCTGCCCTGTAAGGTTGTGGCGCCCTTCACCTGCTCTACGGCGCAGCCCCCGAGGCAGCTGTACCGTCAGAGGGTCTCACTTCCCGGGATTGTGCAGGCTTTGTCTCTGTGTGTGTGTGTCATTGTTTCGAAGAGAGGGGGGTGCGGTTTCGGATTCAGGCTTTTGGGCTGGTCGTGACCGTTTGGACAATTGAGCTTCGAGTGCTTTAGGATGTTTGGGGGCTCGAATCGCTCGGTTCTCCAACTATGTCAGACTTGTTGTTGCAGAGGGGCTTTGGGCTTGCAGACAGAGGTGGAGTTGAGGTTCTGGTACAAATATGTAATATGGAAGGCACCTTCTGGAAGGTGGTGCTGGAGAGGAAAGCAGCAAGTTAAGTTCAAGGGAGGGAGGGGGCCTTGATCTGCCATGCAGATGTTTCTTCGATCCAAAGGTCCGGGAACCCCGGCCTGGAAGCCCTGCTTCTCGTCTGGCAGGGCCCAGCGGGCACTGGAAAGACCGAGACAGTCAAGGACCTGGCGAAGGACGCCGGCATGCTTTTCGTCATGAGACTGGCTTCGGGTTTCAGGTTTCATCACTCATACCAAACACTTCTGCAGTTCTCATACTGTAGTGAAGTGGCTTATTAAATGCCTCATTAGGTCTTCGGCCCTGAGTGACATTACCAAGTCCCGCAGGCCTTGGCGCGGTTCTGCGTGGTGTTCAACTGCTCCGATGAGCTGGACTACCTCGCGATGGCAAAGTTCTTCAAAGGCACAACATGGTGCTCGAGCTGTAGCTTCAGGTCTCCAGCTGAGAACTCTCAGAATCTAGCAATTTAGGCGTTGTTGGCCTTGCTCTGTGCACAGGGCCCTTGCATTGCCTTGTGCTCTCAAAACTCCAGATGAGCTGTATTGAATAACTTCGTGGCCGAGATTGTGCAGCGCGGCACTCGGTGAGGCCTGGCGGCATCTGGCGGGTGGGCATGCTTTGACGAGTTCAATCGCATCGATGCAGAGGTGGGACCGGGGGGGGGGCGGGGTCTGGTTGACGGTTCGACACTTCCATGGCAATCGAGTCTCGCAGAGTCTCCGTCATTCGGCTTCATGTGAATTAACGGGTAGGTGAGCATCAGGGGCTTCTTCTATTTAACTTGCTGTTCAAGCTTCTTGTGAAGACGGTTCTTCGATGATAGTGCTGATGGCCGCGCAAAATAGCACCAAAAGCTACGTATTTGTGATAGAGACAGCAACGACAATAGTACTTCACACAAGCACCAACTCAGTAGCTTTTCTATGGATGCAGGCTTGGGAAGAGGAGCTCTAGCTGCCAACGAGCACCCAATAATTGCCTGCTCCACTCCAGACCTTGCTGTCTTTTCGTGGAAGGTGCTCAGCGTCATCGCGCAGCAGATCCTTTGCATTCAGAATGCCATCCGGGAGCTCCGCCGAAATTTCTGAAGCTTGAACTTGTTCCTGTCAGCCTGTCAGCAGCTTGGGTGGATTTTGCGGTATGGCGGTATGGTACTTGTTTCCGTGGTGTGCGAGATGCGTCATAGGATTGGCCCGGATGCCAGCAGGTCACTATAGATACTAGAGACCTAAGTAGCCCTGACACCGCCAACAATCCTCCAGAATGGACATCCCCACGGGTCTTGGAGTGCTGATCCCCGGTATTCTTGTCGGCCTAGACAGCACCACGTGGGAGGAGAAAAAGACCACGTTCATCTTCGAGGGCACAGAGCTGCCAATCATTTGGACGTGCAACTGTCTGGGCCTTTGACAACGAGTTGACATCAATCGCATTGTCGGACACAGCTGTTGGGCTAACGTTCGGAGCTTTGCATTTTTGGAGTACTTTTCGCTTGCAGGTTGAATATGTACAGTCCCACATACTCTCGTGATGAACGCCGTGTAAGCGAGCACAGAGCAGTCTCAGTCTCACTGCGCTTCGCCGGTTAGTGTTGCTGTGAAAGCATGTGTGTGTGTGTGTGGCCCGAGTGAGAGTCTCACACTTCCGTGTCAAGGAAGCCTACTAGTCACCTAGCCCTAGCAAGGGTTTAAGTGTTGAGGGTAGGGTGTGGTAGGGGTTCAGGGTTAAGGGTTCAGCAGTTGGCGGACGAAGCTGCTGATGAAACGGCCTGATATGTTAGGCTGCTAGGAGCTAGGATTTGTTCCGACTTTGCAGTCGCTTCACTTCAGCCCGGCCCTGATCTCCGGACGAGGCATTCAGCCTAAACAGGATGCCGAGACCATGCGCTTTGTAGGGCGCCAAACCCTCGATCCGCAACCTTCTGACTCCTAGCTCCAATCCAAGGCTTCATCACCATGAACCCTGGCTATGCCGGCCGAGCCGAATTGCCTGACAATCTGAAGGCCTCGATGAGTACTATAGCTGCAGACGAGCGAGGTGACAATGCATGAACCTCCAAAGCTTGTGGGGTTGCTGCATTTCTTGTCATGGCACTTTGTTTGCCAAATTTCTGCCGGCGCACAGCAAGCTGCAGCAGTGCCAGGGCCTGTGAAATGCTGCGGCTCCAGCGCTTCCAAGGGAGCTGCCTGTCCTTTGGGGCTTGTGGGTTGGTGCAGGCCCTCTTCCGGACCGTGGCAATGATGGTGCGCAGCCCATCATCCCAGGGTTCCTTCATTTCATTTCGGATCCAGCCAGTTGCTTCGCGCTTATCAGACCCACCGTGGAGAAATAACGACCTTATTAAGTGAAACGCGATAGAGCTGGGTCGACACAATTATGGCATATCCTCCTTGATCATGGCTTTTCGGTGGTGTTCGCTCGTGGAGTCGTTGAAGCAAGCCTTCGCATCATTCAGTGATAGTATCAACATTTAAGCTGCTGACCGCCCAGAACTATGAATTAAACATCTTCAGTGTAATCTACCCGTGCAATAAATGATAAATGCCTATCGTGTAAAAGTCATAATAGTATATGCCACAGTTTACGCCATCTGTTCGGTGCAACTATGTGTTCGAGCGTCGAGGGAGAGGGAGAGGGGAAGAGAGAGATAGAGAGAGACAGACAGGGGAAGGGTAGGACTCACCCCGACCCCCAAGCCTGGTAGAGAGAGAGAGAGAGAGAGAGAGAGAGAGAGAGAGAGAGATCTGGCCCAGCTGAACCGCGAGAACCACCACGACAAGGAGCTACAAGGCCAGC